TAGACAGCTGCAACTTTTTTATCGGAGTGGTTCATTTGTACCATTTCGCAGCTTCACACGAGTTTAGCAATCTCACCAAATCGATTCCTGTTAGTTGCAAGAAGTAGCAGAGGGAACTAGCGGAAGTGCAAAAATGCTCCGAGCAGTGCCGAAATGGCTGTGCAGGGAGTCATAGGACGTCACAAAATGGTCCCTTATGTTGACAGAAATTAATTAAATGCCATAGTGTATCACATTAGGGCCAATCTGCACCATCTTCGTTTCCGAGAACCGGCACACTTTCTCATCAAAGTGATCTCGGCTGAAATTTTTGTTTATCAGCGTCTCAAAAGTATCCGCCAAAAAGCGTGAACCTTTCTTCTGTAATCGCCCTATCTTTAAGCCACCAGCTCTGTGTTTGGGTGAAGAAATTGAATTTAATCGGCGCTGTTTGTCGACGGGGGGGCATTTTGTATTATCATTGCTTCCCTAGTTCCGAATCTCACTCTGGTAAAACTTGTGAACTCTTGTGAAGCTGAAGTAAGATCGTCTAGCCACTATCCTAAAACGTGTCAACTCGAGAAACGGCTACCTAGATGGGTCGACACATCTATGGAAAGCAAAATGCCCCCCCCCCCCCCCCATCGACAAACTGCGCCGAATCATTGAGAGGCAGCGTTTATACGTAGTGTGTTTGAAATCATTGATTAGCCTTTCTCGAACTTCTTTCTGTCCATTTCCATGGATGAAATATGCCAGAAAACACTGTTTTCCTTCCAGTAATATGCCGGTTAGGGTGTGTCAAGATGACTCTGATTACCAAGCTGCAATGGCGGAAGCCGGAGCGAAGCCGGTCGTAGTGGATTTCTCTGCAGAATGGTTTGTCATCACATTTCTTAGCTTTCACATTTGGATGCCGTTTAACATTGTGATGACATTAAAAAACGCTCGCAGGGATCCTTGTGGTTGTCGTCCGGGGTGGTTGGATGGAAGTTTCTATGGAGGACGTGATTTCGTCTAGATCGTCTTCATAAAAGGATTGAGCATGGTTCGAAGGTTACAAAGTGCTCTCTAGCAGGATCAGTCGTCCGTCGGGCAATCCTGGATGAGGGGGGATCGCTATTGGTCTGAAGAAGTCTGACAAGTGGTTTTTAAACTGTTCATTTTTCTCGTTTAAAAGCACACAGAGTTGATACCGTTGCGGGCGGTGTCAGGGGACCTGGAGTGAGCTCACCAGTGGAGGCGTTTTCTACCAGTACTGGCCGATTCATTTAGAGAAGAGCCAGTGGTGGGGAACGCCGTGTGTTCATTCCATGTCTCCTGACACTGGTCCCTAGAGGGGTTCCCAACCCTTCCTCCCTCCCCTCCCCTAGTGGACGCGCGACATTTCAAGTGTTTTTTATAGTTGATTGAAAGAAAGAACCTCTACCCCGCTCGTCAGAACGTCAGAGGTTAGGTGTGATAGAGAAGAGGAGAAGCTTCCTCGACGCCCTAGTTGAAGACATTGTCTGTGCTCAATCACTTCCTTGTTCATGTAGTCTAACCCACATCTCTGCGACTGATAATTTAGTGGCATTTAGTGGCTTGAGCGACAGTCCTGACGCCTCCTTAGTTGTCCCACCCACCGAAACTCAGAGGCCATTTTCTGTCACGAGCACGAGTTCAGTTTTTACCCCCGTGTATTTCGTTTTTTTTTTCTTATTGCTAAGATATACTAGCATGAATAACGCGAAAAACGATTAGTGAGCTAGAGGCGGCAGATATCGCTTTGCTGGTGCAGTGAGGCTGCAGGGGTCCTTAACGGTGTTCTCCATGACCTTTTTTGCTTTTTTCTCCCCTGGAGAGTCGACTAGCGACTGCAGGCTCGTTATTAAACGCCTCTTCGATTGTAGGATGGGGAAAACAGGGAAAATTTTCCTCGACGCCATTCTTAACCCTGCTCTGTATACCACCAGATGCCTCCATTTCCTAGCGTTTTCATGAGAGTATCAGGAAAAACAGCCAGAAGTCCCGAATAACGCGAACGGAATCAATCAAGGTCAGCAAACATGCTCTGGTTCTATGAGGAAATTCGAATTTCCAATGGTTCAGTTTTATTCTGTGTAGCCTTACTACTTGACTTACTGGGTTTGCTTTCTTGAAGTTCATAGTTTTTATCCACAGTTCTGTCATGTTCAGGTGCGGACCATGCAAAATGATTGCTCCAGTTTTTGAAAACCTCTCCAACAAATTTATGAATATGGTATTTTTGAAGGTCGATGTGGATAAATGTGAAGGTTTGTTGCTTTGGCTCAGAACATTCTTTTATACTTTGGGGCTTGAATTCAGATGTGTTCCAGAAACAGCAGCACAAAACGGCGTTTCGGCGATGCCAACCTTCATCGTGTTCCTTAATGGGTTAGTTCTACTATTATTGCGAATTACATTGGGAGAGCTTCCTCACTAGTAATTTTTTGTTGATCTGCCAAGAGTGATTTTTGAGTGGGGTGAAAAGAAAGGGGAAGGAGTAAGAGTTTACCAGGGAAGCAGTAATCTATCTCTGTAGCTATTGTTATGTCCATGATATCCCCCGTTATTTTTTTTCAGGGCAAAAGTGGACACACTTCGAGGTGCGAACACATCTGGTCTCGAGGCGATGGTTCAAAAATGGGCTGACACGCAGCCAGCAGGAGATGTACCTGGGCAATCGGATATTACGAGTTTGATCGACAAAAGACAAATGGAGTGCCTGAATGGGGACGATAGCACACCGTTATCCGGCTTGCTCGAAGGTAAAGCTCAGGTCTACAAGTTCCACATTACACTGCATTTTACATTGAATGATAAATCACCTTATGCAAGAAAAAGGCTTAAGGGGGTTGATGTATCAATAAGTTACGGAAATAACTGAGCAAAAGGATGCGTTTCCTAGTGTCTCAGAAGGGATCTGGCGTTTGAGCACATGTGGTTGCATTTTCAGGGACAAATGTGCTAAGGTCGGACTGCGACGAGCAGCTCATAATATCTCTTCCATTCAATCAACCTGTGAAAGTTCATTCCATTATGATTAAGGTATGATTATTTTTCGCTTTTTTCGACATTCATTGGTCTAATGGAAGGTCTGTCTATTTTTTATTGCTTGCTCTATCCTAAGATTGAGCGAACGGTGTTCTCGATGTTGTACAATCTTTTTGGTATGCGCCAGGCATTTTCACCTCTCAAAATCCTTCGCATTTTGGATAGGGGTTAAAATAAACTGACCTAAAAGAGATAGACCATCCTTTGTGTACTAACTGCTCATTCTCAGAACAGCATAAAGCGTTGTATGCGAAGGCCAGGTAACCAGTGGTACGCGAAATTTGCTGATTTGGGGATAGATGCCTCCCGGACTATAAACCTATAAGACTTTTTGATGTGGCGGAGCTGTGTTTGGTGAAGATCGCTAATTCGCAACCCCCTCTTACTTGATTCTAGTACTATTCAATATTAACGTTTGAATAGCAAAAAAAAGCGGTTATTTGTTTTTTTAACGTTCACGATGCGTCTGGTCGAAAACGGTGAGATTATTGGATAGAGAACTTTTTGAATAGCCATGATATTTCCTCTCTTTATCCTCACGTGCTATCCACTCCAGTTTCAGGGTACGGATGGAAAGACACCGAAAAACGTTCGAGTCTTTTCGAACCTTCCTAAAACTCTGGACTTTGATGGCGCCAGTTCAGTTGAAGCGGTCCAAGTACTGGAGTTCAGTGAAAAGGCACAAAGTGGTTAGTTTTTGTTGATGTTATTCAGTGGATCCATTGAAGTTTCTTGTAATTATTGTCTTCGCAAACCTCGCCATTTGAACATGTCACTTTGAACTAACCATTCCGATTCTGTGCTCGTCCACTATTCTTGGCCCAAAACATTCAGTTACGGGCCGACCCATCTAATTTGCGGCTTTTTTTGGGACTGTGTCTGTTGGGCGGGATCCTTCGTAAGCCGAAAGTTCATCAATTGTCCTTCAACGGTGCAGCATGACCGGCCCAGTCTTTTTTTTGGCTCAGATCAAAATGGGATGAACAATGTGGTTCAGGAACTTTAACGAGAAGAACATAGGTCGTGAAGAGGCATACTCAGAATACTCCCACCTGTTAACGTTACCCGTTGCTAGTATTGAGCCCTTGTGGGATCCCACTGCTGCGTACCTGTGAAGTACTCCAACTTTCTTCAGGTCCTTCGATTTTTTTTTCGTGGGAAACGTAATGTTTTCAGAGCCTGAGTTGCTGCAGTTGAAGTACGTGAAGTTCCAGAATGTCAACAACATTCAACTTTTCGTTGAGAATAACCTTGGCGGTGGTGACGTTCGTTAGCATCATTTGTATTCTGAATTAAGGGAGATGGGCAAGACAATCATAATTTCTCGCGTAAATCGCCGCTCAGGGCGTGTCGTGTCAACATGCGCGGCAAAGTTTCTGGAGTTTCATGGGCTTGTCGATTGGAGCAGCAAGATTCATACAAATTCAAGCGCGGACAAGACAAGACGAGGCTGTGATTGGCGATAGCGAGTTTTCTCATCCCTTTGATAATCATATCAGAACAGCCAGGCAGGAAAACTCGTCCGTCCGGTGCGACACGCCCGCATAATGTGATTGTCTTGTCACAGACCCTTGAATTATGTTTTTCCTATAATAGCCGTACGAAATTCAGGTCACCGAAATTGAGCAGTTGAAGATCTTTGGCACTCCACTTAGCGGAGTGAACATGAACGAATTCAAGCGGGTAAAGATTTTATTTCATTGTTTCTTTTCTTGATAACTTTTTGGTTCTCTGATATGTTGGTAAAAGATTCTGTGCGCTTCGGGTAGCTCCTTGTACTACAGCATACATTTTTATTATGCTTTCTTTCAGTTTCGCCATATGGGACGCTTTTTTATTTGCTTGTGACGTTGCTTAAGGGAAGCATAACCTGCGATATCCAGTAACCATGACTAGAACGTTTGAATGCTTGCGTTAGCCAAAATTCAAGCGAATCTTTTCAGATTAAACGCACGAAGAGGAAAAAAAGGCCGAAACCCGTAGAACAGTAGCCCCAGGTTTGTGTTCGTACCTTGAGTCGTTGTTAGTGTCGGAGAATCCGCACAGGATCAAGTGCGATTTGATGTCGTCCAAATGGACGTCGTCCAAATGGAGAATCGGCAAAATCGGATCTCATGCAGTCCTTTCCTCTGGTACTAAACGGGGCAAGGTATGAACACAGCCTGAGGCCCTCGTGACTGGTCTCGCTGGCGCACCGGATTGTTTGGTTAGACGCGCATCCACCCGGGAATGGGCAACTCTTCGGTTTTGTGACATGAATCGTTGATTTCCCAGTTGGACAAAGTCCAATTAATTGAATAAATATATGTCTAGGTGTTTTTAGGGAAACACCGGATTCTCCGACGTTTCGCTTGCGTGATTCTCCTCTTACCCTATAAACATGTATCTAACCCTTTCCGATGACTTAAATTTTCTTAGTTTGCGCAGTAATAGCATGATCAAGAAACCTCACTTCTTATGTGCATGATCTGCGAAGCTGTGGGGCTTTGCGTTCAATCCAGTGGTTGCACAGAAAATCCTTTCTGAACATCTTTCCCTTCTAGATTTTCGGTTTGTCGGTTATGGGGCGGCGAGGGTGCGTCGTTGCCTTCGAGAAGGATGATTTCGGTGGTTGGCCTTTCTCGGTTTTCCTTCTCAGTTTTCCTTTTTTTGAGTACCCTATGTACCGCTACCCGAACGACGGTTTCTAGGAAGAAGGGGGGATGTTTCGAAAAAAAAACTTCTGGTTAACTGATTTGTAGGAATTCCGGGAAATCCAGGAATATGGAAAGTAGATGGTAAGTAGGATGTGGATGGGGAAGACCAGAGGGGGAAGTTGGAGGAACGTTAGAAAGGGTCGTATTTTGCACTAGTTTGACCAAATGAGGACGTGCCCTGGCCAATAATTCCTCCGCGCTTGCTATTAAAATTCAGGGGGAGTTTGGTAAAATGATTCGTCGGTCGTGAAAGGGGGCCGTACTGGAGGAGAGGAAGGTGGCATTCAGCGAAATTTTCACAAACGCCAGGATGAGCCCGGAGGGGGGGGGGCATCCTTTAGCGCTCAATGCGCAATAGAATTGTGGTGGAGGCGCGATTGGAGCTCTCAGAAATATAGCTATCCTCTATCCAGTTAGGTCTACGGCGGAGTCCAAATCGCTGCTTGTGAGTTCTATTTCAGGCGCGCCACGTAGATGTCATCCTGATCGCCGCAGAGATCTTGAACGTTGATTTACAAAGTGTGACCTTGCTGTCTTCAAGGGCAAATTTTACGTGTTAGCACAATTTATGTGACAGCTAAGAGCGAAATTTAAATACTATTTGGCATAATATAGTTGGTATCCTCGCAGTTCGTGAGGGCGGTGTCGGGCGGAGCGAAATGAGCTTGCCTCTGGCTGCCTTGTTCTGCCATCAGAGATCGGTTAGTAATCGATTGAGGAAGGAAACAACCCGTAGTGGAACGCCGCGAGTGGGCTCACATTTCATCTCTCTTGGAACGCCCCGACTGAGTGTGACATTGACTGTGCAGTTCGGTTATTGCGATCGCAGCAGTGGGGGCGCACCGGGGCAGTTCGGCAGCGAGAGGAAGCAGTTTGCAGTTTCGCTGCTTCCCATTGTCGTTTCAAGCCACCAAGTAGCCACCGGTTAAAATTTGTTGAAACTACTTGTCAACTCGTGTAAAACAATGAACACGATAAAGGGGAAGCAGCGAAAAAGCAAAACCTTCCCCCCTCTCCCCCCCCCCCCCGTCGCCGCGCTCCTGCTATATTAATTTGCTCCCATCGGGTCCTGGTGGAGAGAGATAGAGACTGACTTATAGAGACTTAGTGTACTGGAACGTATAAGTACATTGAACCTGAGTAGGAAATGCAGTTTTTTCCATCATAAATGCCTATGCCGTCTGTGATTGGTGATTGTAGGAGTTCTACCAATCACAGGTGATTCCAGAAAATTTCAGTCCGAAGAACGCACGCATGCTGCCCAATGATACCCCTGACCAGACAGACGTATGGTTGATGTTCATTTACTGATACAATTTGTTTCAGGTGGCTGGAAAAAAGGGTGAAGTGGGTCACTAGAAGACGGTTAGCAGTACTGTTTTCATGGTAATAAATATGGCTTCTTGTACTGGTTTGAGGACGACGTGAATTTGTATGCCTCTTTGCGCCTGCAAAATACAGCATTTTTCTCTTTTATTGTTGGTAAATACACATAATAAATGCTTATGTTATTGATTTTATTTGTAAGAGATGGTGGTTTTGAAAGTCCACTTTTACTGTTGTAAGTGGTGCTGATTTCCTGACGATTACTAGTGCTTAACCTATCGGTGATAGGGCTCAAGCGGTAACGAGTTCAGAAATTTTTTAGCGTTTCGCAGTACTTTTCCCTGCTCACCTCATCAGTAAGCGAACAAGATGGATGTTGAGCGGCTTATGAAAGATCTTACAGTGGATCATCTCCATCAAATTCAACAAAATCTGCAGTTAGTTTATTTTCTTAGAGCTCTGAACAAGGCACGGCAGACGTTGGAGATCCTCAGCGAAGAGAGGGGGTCGTTTTTGACCTCTGGAGAAACAGAGAGGGGTCGTATTTGCTCCGAAAAGAATGTTGATGTTGGTTTTTTGGTTTTTTTTGTTTCAGTGCATTCTGTGCCCATATCCCCTTTCTCTCTCCGCCCACGGCAGCTTTTTGGTGCTAAAAGGGAGAAAGAAGAGGGATTGTAAGAACAACACAAAAACTGGGGGAAGCAGGGTCATGCCAGAGAACGAAATTTGGAGGGGGGGGCGTATTTTGCAGAGAAATATCTCCAAGGGTAGGGTGCGCCCTGGTTCTGAATGCCATTCCTATTGCGAATTGTTCAGTAAAATCGTATTCAGTGCCTACTCTGATAGTTTGGTTAATCTCAACGGTGAGAAGTGAGTGATACGTTGGGTGTGAAGGACATTATATCCACGTTCCGGGAAGACGGCGCTGAGATCGGCGTCACGCCGTGTATCGTTCGCGCCAGACGCTGGCACACGATTTCACATGGGGCTGCGACGCGACCAGCTAAAAAATGTGGAGGTTGCTTTGGCCTACAAGATCGCAACAAGAATTTAGCGCCCTGCACCCGATCACTTTTTGAAGGGCGCAGTATAAGTATGCCCTGATCGATGTATGGCAGTGCAATGTGGCCACGGGAATCGTCGTCGTTTCCTCTGCTTTATGAGTTATTTTTATCTTTGCTTGGAAGGAGGGGGAGGGATTTTCCCAAAAAAACTTGATGGTAAAGTTGGATTGCGAACGGTTTGCGAATAGGATGGGGGAGGGGGGTGGAAAGGAGGTCGTGCCAGCCGGAGAGGAGAAAGGGGAGATTTCACCCAACGGCAGGACGTGTCCTGATGGCAGAGCATAATTACGCTAAAAGGGTTCAGGTATCAGTAAGTGTCGACTTGTCTACCTATCCAGATTATGGCTAGGTACTGTGTTGAGTGTTGGCCTCGAAGTAATTAATTCAGGACGGAGATGGAGGGTAAGAAGGAAGAGCTCCGCGAGATGGTTGGTAGAAGATATCGAGACGTACTTGAAGCCTCTAGTGAGGTAATCTTTTAGGAGATAGAAGTTCCATGGTTGCTTTTTCCTGATCGAAACTTCTTATTTCTTGGAGTTCACTGGTTTTAGGTACGAACTGTGCGAGGAACTTGCAGAAGCACTCGCTGAGGCTGTCGCTCATGCAAGAACAACTCAAAGTATTGTAGAGCCGAGGTACACACTTAAGAATGCTTAGAGTTTCTTTGAGACTGAGAACTGACTTATGTCTCTGGAATTTCTCTTTTAGGCCTCTGTCGCGTGAGCAACAAGTATCCATACAACGTTTCATTGCATTGCACAAACTCTTGGCTGTGATAGGTGAACCAGATGGAGATGCACTGAGCGATGCGTTTGCTCTCACTTTAGCTGAAATTCTTCACAAGCAACTAGCGACTGAGCATTTATCCACTGCGGTAAGATGAATTACTCTAGCCACTGGTTCTTGTTGATTTTTTTCCAGGTCTTAAATGGAATTTTTACCGAAATAGCCTGAAGTTTTGGCCGGTTCATGGTCACCATATCACTAAACATTTTTGTGACGTTGTTTTTCGGCCAGTAGGTTTTCAAGGATGTTAATTTGTGGCCTGGGCTCGTCTTGCCGTTCGGGGAAATTTTTGCAAAATCCCTCCCCCTTTTTGAAATCTCCTTCCCTGTCTACTACGACCTTTCCTTCCCTATCGCCTATCCTACCTAAGGGGGAGGGAGTATATACAGCACACTGAAGCAGAAAAAAAACTCAGCATAGTAAATAACCCACAGTCAAAAACATTTTCTCAAAGGCAGTGACGTTTCGTTCTTCCTCCTCCACTGGCCGAATACGCCCCCTTCCTTGCTGGGGATCCGTAACCCACGGCCTTTTTTACAGTTGTTCCAAACAAAGATGTCTTCACTTTTAAGCCCGCGCATGTCTCATTTCTGTCGCTCCAGAGCCAGGGGTACTTAATGGATGAGGAAGTTCCGCTCAGCAACGGATGTTTGAGAGCGTGCAATATAACCTAATTTTGACAGTCTACAATTTTCCCTCGAGTGCCGCTTTATAATACTTTCTCTTATTTGCTCTCCTCTCGCTCCTTCATTTACTGTTCCTTGCATTTCTTTTCGTCCTGTCTTAGCTTGTTTCGTTAGCACACTGTCCTAGAAATCGTCAGGTCCAGATTTGAGTCCTGCGTGAGGCAGAGCGTTTTGCTCATAACTCAGCAATCTTGTATTCCCCTTTCAGTTGCTGTTCACTCCTCTTGGCCAACCAAGCCGTCTACCCTCCGTAGACGGCCAATTCTTTTTGGCGGAGGTGATCTAGAGGCAAATGGCACCCTTACCACGCGAGCGGTCCCGAGATCAAGTCACAGCTCTATTCCCGCCCAGGCCAATCAAGCTTTCCACCCGACGGAGACGGTAAATTGGTAGCGAATTCGTTTGGGAGGATTAGTATCTTAACCTCGACATCAGCTGGCACTCGCTACTCATTGTATAGGCGGTATCCCGTTCAGTGTACCACTACGATTTGAAGGGAAGTGGAATACGTGCCGAATCCCAAGAAGGGATTGATCAACGGCGAATGATTTATCCTTTATCCTTTACTTGTTTTTCTTACCCTTTTCTATCTTTCTAGTCTTCTTCCTCTCTGTTAGGCACTCCGATAATCACTGATGTTGGCTCCTTTCCCTCTTTCCAGTGGCTACCATAACACTGCTAAGATTATCATTTCGTCTCTTCCCGGTGAATTGTCTTCTGATAATTTGAAATCGTGCGCTCCTCTGAATTTTAGTCCTCAAATAGTAATCTGAATAGATGCTTTTGAAGCTCTTGTATCAAAATCCTTTATTGGTGAGCTTTCGGCGATAACGCCGTCATCAGACCTTCAAAATACAATACTTTAGTGACCTACAGCTACAACAAATACATTAACATCAGCATCAATACCTACCACGGGCGGGGAGGGGACACGGGTGGAGGAGTGTGCCTGCTGGTGCGGCGGCGCAAATGAAGTGAAGACTCTCCAGCCCCAAAGGCACATGTGCCTCCTTTTGTTAAGTGC